CGTAAGAGGTAAGATGGATGTAGGATCCCCAAAATGAACAGTACATAAGAGAACGACTTGAACATGGGGCCTAAGTCATTACAAAAACAAAACTCGCATTAACTGTCAAACTTCTTATTGTAAATAAATAAATATCTTAATTGTCAATACATTATCTTTTCGACGCGGTTAAATTTAGACGTGTTGTTACTTTACTTTTGGTAATACATTTTTTTTTCTGGTGGATAAAATTTAGGTAATTTTTTTAAAGCGTCCATTTCAATTAAAATATTGTTACGTAACAATGACCAAATTTTTTCCCATTTCAATTGAAATCTTGTGATATTGAACTGGAAACCTCTTTTCAACTAAGGGCTTAGCGGCATGATGCTTTGGTCGGGTCAATCATCGGGTTAGGTTTCAAAGTTATGATTTCTATTATTGAAAATTAGTTGTGCAACCATAGTGAAATATTAAACTCTAGCTCTGTACAATTTTCAATGCTAAGAAAGAATGATATATTTGGAACAAATATAGAATACTTATATGTAAATTTAATTTTAAAGTGTCTAATTATGTGAATTGAACCTAGATCGGCGAAAAATGAGTATAGCGACCATAATGACTAGTTTATAGTTCTAAGGAAGCCCCCCGATGTATAGTTCAGTGGTGCAAAAAACAAGAGTAAGATAGTCTCAATTGAGCTGACAGCCGAAGTGTGAAGGTTCGATTACTACCTCTCATAATGTATGGAATGAGATTTTCTGTGAGCACCAGTACACGGCAGCTCTTGTACAAGGGGGCCCTCAAGGTTAGGGTTCAACCTTTTTTCAGTTTATAGTTCTAAGGCTAGTGACTAAGCGTGATCCTCGAGAATAAAATACTTTGAAATTACCTTATTAATATAATTGTACGATAGCAACATGTCTCGTTGACATCAACTTTGAGTCATGGTTGAGTTGACGTTGACATCAACTTCAACTACGCCAACTCATACATATTGTTAGATGCTCACCATTGCTCATCGCTTGAACTGTAAATTGTTTCACGTTTTTATTTTGTGCCTCAATTTATAGGGGAGTTGCATCTCATCCTACCCATTTATTATGCAAACTATATATTCTTTATTTGAGCTCTAACTCATTTAACAAAAAAAAAAAAAAGAAAGCCACTAAAGGCGTAAAAATATTCATGAGCGAAGCTATTCATCTATCCCCGTCGAACTAGAAGTAAGCAGTTTCCCCATTAACATCCAACTCTTCCTCTGCATCAACAACCTCTCCCTCACGTAAACACTTCGTGAGTAATCATGAATTTTTCTGACTTTAACAATTACCTAAGCACATACTTCTAATCTGATCAATCTAGTGCACACACTCAAAAGCATCTTCACATTCACGTAATTAAGCTCCTGTTTGGTGGCCATATTTTTTTGGAAAAACATTATTTTGAATAATGAATTTTTTGAGAATGTGTGGTTAAAAAATAATAGAATATTTTATTGTATGAATGTTAGTTGAAAATTAGTTTGTAGAATTTTTTTCAAAGAATAAGAGACAAACAAGGGCTAAGTTTCAAGTTGTAAAAAATTGAAATTCCATTTCATAAGAGTAATCAAATTCTTATACGCCCATGTTTGGTGGTTAGTATTTTCAAAAAATATTGTCTTGAATAGTTGATTTTTGGAGAATATATATGGTTAAAAATAGGAAAAAAAATTAAATTTACGTATAAAATATTTTATTATGTGAATGTGTGGTTGAAAATGGGTAAATGAAAAAAAAAATTCCAAATAATACAAGACAAACATGTCTACAACTCTAAACACCGTGTAGAGATTGGATCATCGCTAAAGTTGAGCGGTTCCATCCTTGCATTCCTGTACGTACGAGTAGAGGCGGATGCAGACATTTTGAGTTAGAGGGGCACAATCAAACATTATACAAATTGAATACTTTGTTATTGATTTTTGAATGATTCATACTTGACTCAAGACAATGCAAATTTACATTTTAAAAAACATTTCTTCTTTAATATTTTGCTAATCATTTTCATCCATTTGATTTTGAAGAGTCATTTTATTAATATTTTGCTTATCACAAGAAAATGCATATTTACGTTTAAAAATCTTATAATGTATTTAAGACAAACAATTAATTCAAATAATCGAAAAGAAAAATATATAACTAATATTTAATATTAAGCCCCTCTTTGAACCACATTCTCATTTTCATTCTTTTACTCATTCTCAACCACGCATTCTTTAATAACAAAATTTTTTTTTATCATATCAGTAACTTTTCATTCTTTTTCAACCACACATTCACATCACATCACAAAAATTGCATTTTTTCTATTTTAATGTGTATCAAACACACTCTAATAATCAACCAAACAAACACAATTCGTTAAATATAAGTCAAATTAGATATAATGAGTTCAGACACATTATCTATATACACAGCTTGATATGAGAAAATGCAAATTTAGGTTTTAAGTACTTGAAAATTTGTAAAGAAATTATATA